ACCATTTTGTGATTCTATGAAGAACAGCTAATTTTCTTTACAGCAGGAAGCTGTCAGAGAGCCAAATCTGCTTTATGTAGCCCCCTGGAGCAATCCAAGTAGGCAATTCAGTTTTATTTTTCTCACTGGAAACAATCCTCCACTGAACCCTCTGAGCACGGCTGAACCTTGGAGCTAGATTTGTACTATTTGCAAAGTTCCCCTTATTTCTACTCTATGTGTTTTGGCGGGGAAGATGCCTAGGGCCAAGAGGGTCTTTTCTCAGGCAGCAATCCGAATGAGTTGCTGCAGCCACAGGGGACCACTATGGGATGCTCTAGCTCCTTGGAGAGCACCAGGATCTCTCCATCAGGATCTGAGGACTCGATTCTCCATAGAAATGGCCATGGTTGTGTGCTGCTGCAACCTTCTTGCCTCTCTTCCCTCCGCTACAGGCAGGGCTGTGATCCCTCTCCAAAACTTGCCGTGGTTTAGGCATGTCCCCGGCCTGCCCCAGTGCTGGTGCGCACTCACGGCTTCTCATACTCACAGTTTTTAAGAGCCTCTTGTTCCTCCTGAGGAACTCTTGGTCCCTTTTGGGGTGTTTCAGCTGCGTTTTCACCCTCTGCACCTTTTCAGGTTGAAAAGACATCCTCATCATCACAACCTCATCGACTGTGAATAGAAAGACTGAGAGGAAATATCCTAAGATCTCTTATCACCGATGTCGGGAGAAATCAGTCTCCAAAGCCTGAATTAAAGGTGTATGGGGGTGAAAGTTTAATCACCCAGGTTTGGAGATTTGAGCTCATTACCCTCATAACCCCTGGAGGAAAGGTCTAGGTGGTGGCTCACCTGACATGGGGTAGATGTCTACTTCAGGGCAAGGCAGCTGCCTAAACTCTGCTGCCCATTCTGACCGGAGCTACACGGGGCATCCCAGGAGACAGGGGTGGCCAACACAGCTCTTCACACCCAAAATGTCGAAATCCCTCCACTTTGAAAGTCCTTTCCTTGCCAGCTTTCCCTGATCGGCCTTGACATAGACCTGAATTCAGGTCTCCAAAAGCCCTCAGGACAGCCTTTGCCCAAAGGGGGAGACCCCAGCAACCCTTGGGTTAGCCCCAAAGCCCCCTCAGCCAGGCGAATTACTCCTGGCTGTGGTTTTTGTTGGACATTTAAGGAAAGAGCAGAAAGAGCAGAGCAGGATCAGCACGAAGGACGTGCTACCACAGGGGTAGCTACCTGAAATGGATGGTATATTGGGGTGAAGAAACCTTCTTGCAGGCATCCCATCCCCACCGATCACTCCGCTTTGCCTGGCAGCATCTCTTGGTGAAGTGGGGACTGTCACACTCACATCCAGACCCAAGGTGGCCGTGGGGAGGAGGGCCAGTGATGTGGTTCGGAAACAGTGCTTTTTGGAGGTGACCCATCTCCAGGACACTTTCCTACCTGAGTTTGGCTAAATGGCCCGGCAGTCCATTTTCAGAATTAGCTAATCAAGAAATTAATGTCTCTTCCTGAAGCAAACATGAGTCCCCTCTGGATTCTGGGTTTTCGACTTTTTCACTTTCTGAGTATGCCACCTACTGATGGGAAAGGAAGGCAGTAAGGAATCCATGAGCTCACTGCTTTAGGATGCCAAAGGAAACATGCAGAATGTATTCACCAATGACCTGGATGAAGGGATGGAGTGTACCCTCAGCACGTTTGCTGATGACACAAAACCGGGAGGAGTGGATGACACGCCGGAAGGCTGTGCCGCCATACAGCGAGACCTGGACAGGCTGGAGAGTTGGGCGGAGAGAAACCTGATGAAATTCAACAAGGGTAAGTGTAGGGTACTGCATCTGGGGAGGAATAACCCCCTGCACCAGTACAGGTTGGGGGTGACCTCCTGGAGAGCAGCTCTGTGGAAAGGGACCTGGGAGTCCTGGTGGTCTTTGGTGGCGGTTTCCAGAGTAGGTAGATCCAGCATCTGGATCCTGTGGGATGCCAGAAGGTGAAAGGAGTCCCATGCCTCAGTTTCCCCCATGTTTTGACTGTCAACACTGTAAATCTGGGGCTATCTATCTGAAACGCTGTAAACCTGAAAGACTGAGGGACTTGAAGCTTTTTAGTCTGGAGAAGAGGAGATTGAGGGGGGATCTTATCAATGCTTACAAATACTTCAACGGAGGGTGCCAGGGGGATGGGAACAGTTTTTTTTCAGTGGTGCCCAGTGACAGGACAAGAGGGGAATGGGCACAAACTTCACCATCGGAAGTTCCATCTGAACCTGAGGAGGGCCTTCTCTGCTGTGAGGGTGGCAGAGCAGTGGCACAGGCTGCCCAGAGAGGTGGGGGAGTCTCCCCCTCTGGAGCCATTCCAAACCTGCCTGGACGCCATCCTGTGCCACTGCTGGAGGTGCCCCTGCTCTGGCAGGGGGTGGCACTGGGGGAGCTCCAGAGGGCCCTTCCAGCCCCGACCATTCTGTGATTCTGTGATTCTGCTGGTGGACCCTGCAAACAGAGAAGCAGCAGCAGCAGCACCCCTCAGCCGGGGCAGAGTCCCCAGGCACTGGGCTGGGCTCCAGCGGACAGGTTGGGGCTGCTGGAGGAGGTGGCCACGTTCAATTGACCACATTCATTAAATACCCTGGAGTTTTTTAAAAGATGCGTACATGTGGCACTTAGGGACATGATTTGGTGGTGGACTTGGCAGTCTTAGGCTTATGGTTGGACTCAATGATCTTAAAGTTCAGAAAATGGTGGGTCCAGGGAAAGAATGTGTTGCGAGATCCTCCTGAAGGGGAGAGAAAAGCATAGTCACATTCCTAGAATCATAGAACCACAGAATCATAGAATGGTTTGGGTGGGAAGGGACCTTTAAAGGCCATCTAGTCCAACCCCCTGCCATGGGCAGGGACATCTTCAACCGGATCAGGTTGCTCAGAGCCCCGTCCGACCTGACCTGGAATGTTCTTCATTGCCTTGATTTGAGAAGGACATCCCCGCTATCTCCTCTGGGGTCACAGCAGGACTTTTATGAAGTTTTCTGTTTCTGGCATCTTTGCAGGACACCAGACTGCATCAGGACATCAGTTCTTATAGAAACTGCATCAGTTTCTACAAGAATACCAAGTCCAACAATTTGCATCAGAGGTGCTGAGACATTTAAACCTTTTCCTTGGAAAGAAATCTTCCCGAAAGTTACTGTCAATAAATACAGTGTTAATTAATTAATCAGGCTAAAATCAGGGAGCCTGTTATTTAGACAAACTACAGTCATTCAAATATCCACTACATAGGAAGAAGAAACATTGCCACAAACTAAGTCCATTTCAAAAGAAATGGAAATTTATGTAAATTTATAAAACCTCTTTGCTTCGGATCTGTAGAGTTGTTGGAAACTCCTCTTGCAGAGCAGAAATGAAACTGCGGCAAAACCCGAGGCCGTATAAAACCCTCCTCCCGGGAAGGTGGCCAGCTCGCTCATTTGAATCTCCACTCGCTTCCTCTTCACACTTTTTAACTGTCTTTTCGAAAAACAACTGACCTTCCTCTGTAAGTTGCCCTCAGGTTGAGTTTTCAAGATCTTGCATAAATTTGAGAGCTAGAAACAAAAATTTCGGCGCTTATACTCCACCTGGCTCCAAGGGCTGGAGACCAGGTAGACCCTCAGTGAACAGGCAACTTCTGGGAGAAACCACCAGACCTGTCACATGGAAGACCCACCATGCCTACTTTTTCCCTCCTCTTTTTCCAGCATCTCCCTGCTGTCTCATCACTGATGCTCCTGGGGACCAGCAGTGACATCCGGGCATTGGCTGAAACCTTCTTCCCATGATCCTCAATCTGTTTGCTCGGACATAGTTGGGCCATCAGGTTTGTTAGCTGACCTTGGACATGATTCCAGCATCTTGCCTTGAGTGACCCAATCAAGTAAGATTGATGAGCTGTGGCATGCCCACCCCAGTGCCAGCTGATGGCTCTAAAAGTCAAAGCACATCTGCCCATGAATGGGTTGTCATCGTCCATCAAGAGCAACCCCAGAGACATCATTGCTGGTGTCCCTCATCCCCTCTCTTCCACACCAGCAGTCCTGGCCATGCCACCAGACACCCAGGCTGTGGTGCTTGTGGAGCTGTGGGGAGGGGACACAGGGGGAAACCATGGCAAGAGTGAATGGGAGTGGGGTCAAACCAACTGGTGGCAAAAGTTTTGAGGATAAGTGTCACGCTCCTGTCCCATAGAACCCTGCGCTCGCTTCCTACATGAAGGGCAAGGAGACTGCATGGCGCTTTGATGGTGTCTATCTAAAAGCGTCGCTCACCCACTGTCCATCTGCCCTGGCCATCCTGGGGAATCCTGCTGCTCATCATGAGAAACCCATGTCCCCTCCCCCATCTCCTGGGCAAGCAAGTGTGGGTTGGACCAGCACTGTTCAAGTTGGTCTGGCAGGGACGGTTTCTTGGAGAGGAGGGACAGGAGCATGGGCATCACCCTGCGGGATCCTGAGGAGCATCTCCCACAGGTTTTGGCAGCGTGGGGCAGCTGTGGTCCCACCTTGGGGAGGACACAGCCCACCTGCCTGTGCGTGGTTTCCCCTATGTCAACGTGAGCCGGGCTGGGGTGGACCTGGCAGGCAGCCTCTTCCTCCCCAAATCTGCCTGCGTGCCTCTGCGAGGGGAAATGGCCTGAGCTTGAGGACGCAGATGGCACCAGCCCAAGGCTGTGTGATGGGCTCTGGTCTCCATGCCCAGCCCTGACCCCAACAGTACCAGGTACACCGAGCCCCTTCCCCAGGGCCAAGCACCTCCATTGGATGCACGCCCAGCCTGAAAGCACGAACTTGGACAAGGTCTGCTCAAAGAAAGGTCTTTATGAAGATATTGGCTTGGACAGGAGGCACTTGGGGCTGTAGAGGTCTTGGGGGCACAGGGACATGCTCCCCCCCGAGCTGCTGGTGTCCAGGAGAGAGTTCCAGACACCGCAGAGCCTTGTTAGCATCGAGGTCAGAGCACGTCCCTGCCCATGGGGCCAGTCCTTGCTGCCTGCTGTCACGACAGAGGAGGGCAGATGAGGGCTGGGGGTGCAGCACCTTGGGATCACGGAGGACCATGAGCTTTGGGTGGGGTGTCCCAAGAACTGGGGGCGACGGCTGATTTTTCCTCCATCCCCCGCGTTGCCCCTGTCAGTAAAACACTTTTTCCAGGTAGGAGTTCAGGAACATCCCCGTAGGGTCCAGCTTCTCCCGGACGGAGCAGAATTTGGGGAAGGCTGGGTACATCTTCTCAAAGTCCTTCCGGGTGCAGCTGTGGGCCTGCAGGAGACAAAGTGTCCGGGGGGGATGCCCATCACTGGGGAATGTGTCGCTGGCCACTGCGTGCTGTGGGAACCCCCTTCAGAAGTGGTGGGACCTCCATCATCTTATCTTCGTGCCCAAGGTAGGTAGCAAACAGGGGAATACCATCTCCTGGAGGCACCCATCTCCCTCTGGGACCAGCCTGATGTGGGGGCCCTTCTCTGACCCCCACTTGACTGCAAACCCCCCTCCCATGAGGAGCTGCGAAGAAGGGGAAGGGACCCTCTTCTACCGACACTTGCCTCCCGGAGGACCGGGGCCATCCATACCTTTGCCCAGTGTGGTCTCCCACCATGCTTCTTCATGATGCCCTCATAGATCAGCCAGTAGTTGAGGCGGGGGACGTTCTTCCCGTAGGGCCTGGGGGAGGTCAGGCAGGGAGCTCATTGACAGGGGCCGTGGGGGAATTTGCACACCCAGAAAACCCCCCCAAGAAACCCTCACCTGGGGAGAAGGGCAACCCCAGGGACCCATCTTTGACCAGCACCAGGTGATGGAAAAGCTCTGGGAACCAACATACCACCAGCACTTGCCCAGTGGACCCTGACATAGGACAACATCCTCAAGAAGCAGGGGTGGGTGGCTCTAGGGTGCTCCGAGGCCACCTCATCCCTCCTGGCTTGGTGCCTGCAGATGTCTGAGTGGGGTGAGCGGACAAAGGTGCAGGAGCTCCTTCGATCCAGCTCTCCAGTGCCAGGCAAGAGCTGGTGCCGGTGTGTTTGAGCCGCGCGTTTGCTGCTGCTGGATCTCCAGGCCAGCACACTGACCCAGGGAGGAAGAGGAGGAGGAGAAGGATGTGGAATGGGGACATGGCGCACCTGTACATGATGATGTTCATGTAGCAGCTGTCCCGCTGGAAGCAGGGACTCAGCCAGATCTCGTCCCCCCGAGCGAAGCGCACCTCCACGGGGTAGTGAGCCACCATCTTGGGGTTGTTCTCCAAGGCGGCCTTCAGCTCCAGCAAGGCTTCCTTTGTCTTCTCACTGCCCAGGAGAAGCCCCCAGCCCCAGTTAATTCCAGCATAGGAACAACCAGCTCCCATCAAGTTTGAAGCCCCATCCCCACAGCTCCATCCCTGGCCCCACGCTAATCCAGGGAACGGCGTGGCACGTCCCAGCACATCCCTCCCGTTGCTTTGCACTCACAAAGCCCCAGGACATGGTGTGATGTGGATTTGGTACCCCAGGACAGGGACGCAGAAGGGTCCCCATGCTAAGGTAGCAGGTAGGAATGGTGCCTCCTAGCCAGGTCCCTTTCTCCACGGCTTTGCTCCTGCTCCGGGCAGCTTGGGCTGGGGCAGAGCCCAGGCAAGGGATGGCATGGGGTTTGGGCACTGAGCCTGGTGGGGGATGGACAGGGAGGGTCTTCAGAACCATTTACATGGGGATGGCCCAGTCTTGAACGTGCTGCTTGAAGCGACACTCGTAGTTGAAGATCTTGTAGCTGATGGCAATGTTCTCCACTCGGGAGCTGAAGAGGAGCCAGAAGAAGAAGCGGTTGATCCAACGCACCAAGCTGGGCACGAAGGTGCTGCAGGGGAGAGAGCAGGAGGTGAGATCTGACCCCAGAGCTGCTGTCCGAGGATTTGCCAAGGACAGGCTGTGAGCTGTGGTGCCCACAAGTCACACAGCCGGGGGATGCTGGGCACGGGGATGTCCTCTCAAGCGGCTGTAAGCAAAGCAGCAGAGCTGCAATCCTCCAAGGGTGCTGGAGCCCGTGGGGTCCTGCAGCGCCTGTGCGCACCCCACCTGATTTTGGACCTCGCACCCTTGCCCTCAGCTGCCTCCTCCTTCTCCTGCTGCGGTCATCACCTTCCCTCCCCCTTGAGACCTCAGTACGCCCAAGGCTGTGCACTGGGCACCCTCACACTGGGGGACCAAGAGCTACAGGGAACAGGGTGGAGTAGCAGGGTGGACCTCCTGGCAGTGCTCTAAGTGGCTACAGTCCCTCTTCGTGAAGTCCAGTCTGGTTTTCCTGTGCCACCAGGGTCCTCCTTCCCAGCCTAGCCTCCATGACCTGGCTGGTCTCCTCTCTCCACCCTGGTGCTCAGGACAGGCTCACAGTCAACACTGTCTGCCAAAAAGCTGCTTTGATGCTGCAAACCTGCGCTGGCTCATCACTCTGCTCCATCGATGGGCCGAGGCCAATGGTGTGAGGTTCAACACGGCCAATTGCCGGGTCGTGCCCTTGGGTCACACCAACCCCATGGACACTACAGGCTTGGGGCAGAGTGGATGGAGAGTTGCCTGGTGGAGAAGGCCCTGAGGGTGTTGGTCAACAGCGGCTGAACATGAGCCAGCAGTGTGCCCATGTGGCCAAGAAGGCCAACGGCATCATGGCCTGTATCAGGAACAGTGTGGCCAGCAGCGCTGGGGCAGTGATCATCCCCCTGTACTCGGCACTGGTGAGGCCCCACCTCGAGTGCTGTGTTCAGTTTTGGGCCCCTCACTACAAGAAGGACATTGAGGTGTTGGAGTGTGTCCAGAGAAGGGCAACGGAGCTGTGAGGGGTCTGGAGGACACGTCTGGTGAGGGGCGGCCGAGGGCCCTGGGGGTGCTCAGCGATGAAGAGCTCTTGCTGCCACCAGCCAGGCGAGGGGGAGCTGAGGCCATGGTGGGGTGGCTACTGGTCCCCAGCCATCCCCCCTGGGGCCCACAGCATCCCAAACTGGCTGGCCAGGGAAGCGGTGGAGTCGCCATCCCTGGAGGTGTTTAACAGAGGGGCAGACGTGGTGCTGAGGGACACAGGTTAGTGGTGGGCTGGGCAGTGTTGGGTTAATGGTTGGACTCCCGGCTTTTAAAGGTCCCTTCCACCAAAACGATTCTATGATCTCTGTGCACACGAGAGGGCAGTGCAGCCCCAGACATCAATCCCAGCCCAAACCCGCTCCTCCTGCACAGGAGCTTGCTTGGGGGAGAGCAACCATCTCCTTCTTCCCCGGGGATGGGGGTGCTCCGGGTCACAGTCCTCCTTTGCCATCGTCCCTGGGACGCCCAGCAAAGCAGCACAGGTTTCAATGTAGGGATAGAGAAGAGATCTGGATGAGGCCAGCCCTGGACAAACCTACCCAACCCTGCTTGTCCCCAGCCACTGCCCAGAGCGTGTTCCTACCTGATCCAGAGCAGAAACTCCAGCAAATAATAGCCAACAGCGTAATCCCACAACCAGCTGGCGGAGGAAGAGGGGGGCTGCAAAGCCAAGCAGAGGAAGATGATGGTCGTTAGGGGGTAGCAGGGTTTGCAGCTTTCTTGCCAGTGGGCATGAGACCGGGAGCACACGCCTGGAACAGGACCAAGCCAGGAGCAGGAGTTTGGAGAAGCGCACCCCGGGACTTCCCAAATCCCTCTCCCATGATGAAACAGGACCACATCCAGCCCCAGAAGAGACCAGGCTTTGTCATGGAGGATGCTAAGAACTTGGAGCCCAGCCCCAAAATGCTGTTTTCCTCCAGTCAGCCCTCCCTGGCAGCCCTTGATCTGCAAGCCCATCCTAAAACGCTGGCTCTGAGAGGGCACCCAGCTTTGAGCACGGGCCCTTCTCCCTTCCCGCATGGAGGCTGGTGGGACTTGCCTTGTTGGTGGGGTCCTGGTAGATGACGCTGACGTTCTCGCTGTGAGGGAACCACAGGAATCGGAAGTATTGAGATCTCTTTAGGTGGTCCTCAAGGTGATCAAGGACCTGCAAGAATCAGAGAAACAGGGGCTGGCTGGTGATTGTCCCCATCCCTGGAGCAGGGATCCCAGGAGCGGAGGGGTGGAGGCACTGCGGAGGACTCCCAGGGATGCCAGGGCAGGTCCAAGGAGTCTGTCTTGCAGAATGTCAGCAAGCCCTGGGTTGGATGGGGAGGGTCAATACAGCCCAGCCATGCACCAAAGGGCTAATAAAGACCATGGACCAAATATTTGGGAAGGAAACAGGGCATGCCTCTTGCCTCCTCTGCCTCAGCCACGCAGATCTCCCCATCCTGAAGATGCTGCTGTGGCATTTGGCACACGTCTGAGCTCAGACCCCACATCCTCCTGCAATCACCCCTCTGGAGCCCCCAGTCTGCTCCATCAGGCATTCCCGGAGGTGGGACAGCACAGACAGGGCTGGAGGAGGACCCCTCCAGCCATCAGCCATACAGCAGGGCATGCTGAGGGCTTCCCAAATCCACCTCCTGGTCCAGCATCAGGGATACCCTCCCCAGCTTTCACACCCCGGCAGCAAAGTCCTCTGTGGCTCTGGAGCCCTGGGATGGAGCCGGGATGCCTTACACAGCCCTGTCCCAGAGACATCCCCCGCTTCAAATGCAGAATTGCCAAATTATTTATAAAGACACAAAAAAGAGCTTTAAGAAAGGCAGCGGCCTCGGAGGAGCTGCCTGCCAGCAGCCGAGGACAGCGAGGCGTGGGGACTCTGAGCGGGCAGGGGACAGGCAGGACAATGCAGGTGATGGGGCTCGAGGGGGTGACCGCAGCCCCAGGACCTACTCAACCTGTTCCCAGGGCCACCGGGGTCCCGTCCCAAGGCTACTTGGAGGAAACCCTGCTGCTTGCCACAGCAGCACCTGCAGAAATGAAAAGACCCTTCAGCCCTCGTTCCTTCTCCACGACCATGGAGGCAAGGGTGGAGGGACCCTGTGCTCGCCCCCTGCTCGGTGCTGTCTCAGCTGGGCCAGCACCTCTCCCTCTTGCCAACAGCTTCTCCAACCACCCCCTGCTCCTCCTGCAGACATCTCCCATAGCTTCGCAGAAAGACTTTAAAACGCAGCAGCTTTGCTTCAAGGAGTTTGCTTGACCCAGGAGAAGGTGCAACTACCCATGGACATAACGCCAGGGAGGTCGCGGCAACCTTAGCTGTGACACTGCTCCTTTGAGTTTTGAGTTCCTCCTTTGGTCATTTGGGTTGTTTGTCTTAATGAGCTATTAATCACCGGGCTGGGCTGCTTCAGCAGCCAGCATCTTGCCGTGACCCTGCCATAAGGTGAGGGTCTTTGTGGGGTGGCACAGCCGTAATACCATGGTCCCATTAAAGCAGGGAGGATGGGAAGACAAATAGCGTATTCCTGTAACTGGTGAGAATTAATGCTAACGCTGTTGTCTCCATCTTCACATCTGCATCTCCAAAAAACCACAAAATCTCTCTAAAATGTTCCCAAAACAGCTTATTTTTTTTTTGGCCAGAGAAGTTCTTACGTTGGAAACAGTTAAAGATTGTTCAAGTAGAAGCAGGACAAAAGCTACGACCCTACGTTTTCATCGGTTTGGTTTAGGAACAAATGCACCGAGCGGCTAAAACAAGCGGGGAAAAGCAGGATGCAGCTTTCCCAAGGTGATCCTGCCAACGTCTGTTTGTCTTCCAGCCGCGGCGTTTGAGCGCAGAAGCAAATTGCTCGCGGGGCGACCTTTTCAATGTGCGCTTTTGATCCTCGTGATAGAGGAATAGCGGCTTGAAGAAAATAAGCCCGCCACTTTGTAGGATAATTACAGCGCAGCGGGCGAGAGCTGAAGGCGGCGAGCGAGCCGGCGTCGGGAGTCCTTGGGGACTTTGTCTGCTGGCTGAGTGCCGGAGTCGGAGGCAGAGGTCGGGCGGTGGAAATCTTGTTGCGGTAACGTGGCCAACGCACCCAACGGGGATGACCCTGGAGCGGGCAGAGACCTGGGGGATTTTGCTGGTCTTTGCTTCCCTCCCAGGAGCCCGGAATAAATGCCTTCGCTTCGTAAAGGTCAGGTCAAGAGAAGCCGATTGCTTTCTGGCTTGCGAACACCCTGGAGGGCTCGCTGAGCTGAGGGTCAGGCACCCCGCCTGCTGCAACGCAGGTTTGGCTGCTCCACGTGGTCCTCGGGGAAAGGACAAGGGGCAGATGTGGCCAAGGTGCTGTGGAGGACGAAGCACGAGAAGTCACTAGCACACATCCCGTAGGTCCACCGGGGCAATGATGGGGAGCCAGGGAGCACGGAGAGCTCGCGTTTTGGGAGAAGAGAGGGATGCTCAGCCTCCCCTTTTGCCTGCATGCCTGCTGAGATCCCACCCCATCAGGGGACGGTGTCTGAGCATCAGCTGGAAGAGTCACCGCCATGCACCGAGGCCAAAACCCAACATTTCTGACAAGGAGGGACGAGGTCAGGCCCAAGCAACGGTGAGGGGGTTTAGGCATTGGGTGGTCTTGGAGGAGTTGGCCTTGAGGGATCCATCCCAGCTGCCTGAGACAGCCCCCAAAGGGCTGAGGTTCAGGTGAGGGTTAGGAAGAGGTAGTCTCAGACCAAAAAGAAGCACTTCTTCACCCACCAAATCGCTAAGCTGTGCCGGTCTGCAGGTGATGAAGTTTGCATGCGTTCAGGAGCAGATCAGAGACCTTCCAGGATGAGAAAATCATTACCTTATGACACATAGACAAACCACCTCCAGCTCAGGAAGCCCCAAAGCTGCAAAGATCGGTGGGAAGAAGTACCATAGCTGAGTCTGACCCATCCTCATCAGCCTCCCAGGGGGTCTGGGGCGAGGGGAGGCTGACTCCATCCCCGCCACCATCCAGGGATGTTCTGCGGGTCTCTCTGGTGTCCTCAGCCGTGCAGCGAACCCTCTCGGTCCCGTGCCTTGTTCCCGGTCACCGTCAGCAGCTACAGTGGCTGAGTTTATCCCAGTGATAAAGATAATCACGAGGCCAGGAAAAAAAAAAAAAAAAGGAAAAAAAAAAAAAAAGCACGCAGATCTTATATAACCACAAATCCAAGCCCGGCTCCTCTGACACATATATTATTTGCAATGTCTTAGATAACTCGGGCTTAAATATTTCAAGCAACCTGCTCCCTTGCCATTATTCTCTTCCGCCTCGCTGGGCCACTCGACATGAAAGCCGGAGATCTGGAAGCAGGCGAGGAACGGCGATGACCGAGAATTGATAACGGCATTAATATTTATAGAGTGCATTCTCGTTTCACCCTCCTCACGGATCCCGAGGGACGGGGAAAGATGAGCTGAGCCGTGCGGGGGCCGTAGCCCGGGCAGAGGATGCTGAGCAGGGTAAAGCCCCGCTCGGGACAGTGGGGTTATCCTGCACGTGAGCTGAAGTTTCCTATCTAAACGGCAGGTTAGGAGGTGTAAAACAAGACGATTTGATGGGGGGAAGGTGCTAAAGGATGCAGTGATGGTCCGAGCGGTCTGGCAAGGGTGGGTGAGGACCAAGCTGTGGGCAGATGATGCTGAGCAGGGTTATCCTGCAGGTGAGCTGAAGTTTCCAGTCTAAAAGGCAGATTAGGAGGTGTAAAACAAGACTCAACCCGGCAATTTGGCGGGGGAAAGGTGCTAAAGGATGCAGTGAAGGTCCGAGCGGTCTGGCAAGGGTGGGTGAGGACCAAGCCGTAAGGAGCTGGCAGGTTCCCGCCACATTTAAACATATTTAAATGCATTTAAAGTGGGGAACTCCCTGCTGCGGGACACCAGGGATGTCGCAGCTCTGGAAGCGAAGAGGTAGTTCACAGGTAAAAGATACTCCTGAGCCATTAAACACAAACTCGTCACCTCCGCAACTGGAAACTGCGGTAATGAACTCACCGCAGGCTGGAGAAATATCTCAGCAGGTTTCCCTTATTCCTCTGTCTTCCCTTCCCACCTCCCAGGAAAAATAAGACGCTGAAGCGCTCCAGGTCTCCACTGCTCTGGTGCAGCTGCTCTTCGGGCAGGTAGACGCACTAATGGACTGGGGAAACGTGAGTGGACCTCTCCGTCCACCTCCCCGGCTGGCCCAGACACCCCCGGCACGGCACAAGGGCCACTGGGTCGCTTTGGATCGGGGCTTACGAAGAAGATACTGCAAAAAGCGTGTTAAACCCACATCCGTGTTGGTGTTCGAGCCGCCCCAACGGGCCACTGAATAATTCAGCCCTTAAAAAATTAAGGACAGCGTTTCTCAGAGCTTTACCAGTGCCGCAGCGCTGATCAATCCTGCAACAAATTTTGCCGGTTTTGTCCAAGGACTATTTATTTTTCATGAGCCAGACTTAACGAAGGCTTGCGCTGTCGTTAGCCAGGGCTGGAACTGGACCTGTGAGACTCAAATGAGGCAACGGATGAAGATAACGCTGAGGATGCGCCAGCGCGGATGTCAGACCACAGGAGGACAAAGACAATCAGTGGTGAAGCAGCTCCACGCTCCTGGAGAGGTTCTTTTCCACCACCACCGTTTTCTTCCTCCTGATGGACTTTGTGCCTCAGTTTCCCCCTCCGGACATTTAACTCCTTCCAGTGAATGCAGTGAGTCCACACAGCATTTTAGAAGGCCACCAGGTCTTTCAACTTGCAGGTGGCCCCTTCTCTGTAGGCTTTAGCCTGTGCGATGCCGCAGCCTCCAGTGATGACCTGGTGCCAGAGACCTGGGACAAGGTGGTGATTGCTCAGCTCGAGGCAAGCCGGTCACATCCTGACACGCCGGCTGTGCCAGGCTGTCCCTGCCATGGAGGGGCTGAGCATCAGATGGAACAACTCACTCCATCTGACTTCTCAGCGGTGGGAGGGCTCCAAGGAGTTCATGTGACAGCAGAGACGGGGAAAGCGGGTTTTGATGTATTCCCGGGAGAAAGAATTCCCTCAAATTGCTCTGTAGAAATGCCCACGGGACCTAAAAAATGCTTTCGGAGGGAATCAGATCACACCCACTATTGGCCACAGAGCCACGTGGAGAGCCAAGCTCATCAAGCCCACGAGGTGCACTGCCCCCAAAAAGGGCATTTTGTGCCTCTTTTGAGGGAAATCAGCCTGTTTCAGCCTGGTTCCTGCTGGGGATGGAAAGCTCGGCTGGAGGCAACCACTCTCCAGTACTGAGCATCTCTGTACCAGCATCCCAGGACACCGTCCCCAGTGCCTCAGCCCCATACTGAACAAAGACCTGAACTTCTCATGCTCTCCATACTCAACCAAGCACCCTTTCATGGGCTACAGGCAAAACGTGGTTTTCAGGAGGGACATGGCCACAAAGAGAGGACAACAGGGAGAGGACGGATGGTGGGACAGCAGAACTTGCCAAGGAGGAGACGGCATGTGAAGCCTTCAGAGTCATGCAAGATCCTGACCTACAAAAGAGCAAGATCCTCAGAAAGCCACCTGCCTTGGGGATGTCCCACGAGGGCCAGTCACTCGCGCCAGGCGCCTTAGTCTGGATGATGGCGACCTTTGGCAAGATGGAGACAGAGAAGGCCAGTAGGAACGTGACAATCGGTTTAAAGGGCATTTTCCATCACACGACCCAAACGCAGCTCTGGAGTTGGATCCTGATAAGGGGATTTGCTCCATCTGACCCTTGAAATGTGTCACCCATCACGCTCCTCCTCACCCTCAGCACCGTTTGTGCCAAGTTCAGCTCCAAAAAAAAAAAAAAAAAAAAAGAGTTAAGGCCCAACTTCCACACTGGGAGATGAAGAGCCCCATCCCAAAAAATACCCTGACCTCACACAGACGAAGGCACCAAGATATTATCAAAACCACAAGCTGCTCACGGACTATTTTAAGTGGCCCATCTGTCGCTGGAAAAAGCAAAGCTCTCCGTTAGCCGAGCAGCAGGAGGCGGCGGGATGGGAGACGAAGGCAATTCCTGGGCGAGCACAGGGCTGGAGGGAGCAGCCATGCCCTGCGGGATGCTGCTCCTCTCCTGCGGGACCCCCAGGGATGCCGCCTGGGCGCAGGCGCAGGCGTCTTCCTCTCCTTGCTTTGGCCAGGCAGCACATCAGCCCACCAGCCCAGCCCAGGATTTCCAGCAAGGGCAATTTTCTCCAGCTGGAGAAATTAAAATTAAATCTGCATTAGGCTCAGTCAGGCGTGCCTCCGGTTACCAGATCTCCGCTGACCTGCCGGCGCCCGCGAACAGCGGGTTAAACCGAGCGGAGGCGTTGGCCGATCTGTCTCACAGTGACAAGTCCCACGGCCAGAAGCCAGCGCTGATGCCCGCGGGCTCCTGCGGCATCTCTAACTCGATTGCGCTGGAGCCTCCCTGCTCAGCCCCACGGCGGCTTGGAGGCAGCCCAGGGAAGATGAAGGTGATGGCTGCAGGCAAACCTCCATCCCTGCTCTGGTGGGACCGCCGGCATCGCACAGCCCAGGAGTGTGCCCGAGCCTGGAGCAGATCCCCACCGCTGCGGCTGTGGTTCCCCTCGCTTATCCCTGTCTGCAGTGAGGCTCAGGCATCGCTCACGAGATGGGGGAACGATTCAAAACCCAGTGGGGTGGTACGCAAGGGGTAGACCACAGCTGGAGGAGAGGGTTTGATTTCTGAGTGCTGCCTCCAGCTCGGGGGCCTCAGCACAGGAGAGACATGGACCTGGTGGAGCGGGGCCAGAGGAGGCCCCGGAGATGCTGGGAGGGCTGGAGCCCCTCTGCTGGGAGGACAGGCTGGGAGAGTTGGGGGGGTTCAGCCTGGAGAAGAGAAGGCCAAAAAGGGGAGA